TACGGCAGCTCGTGAAAGCTGGCGCTGATGTCGACCAGGCACTCCCAGGCACCCTGGGTACACCTCTGCAGGCGGCCGTGCTCCGGCGCGGCTACTTCGAGGAAGGATCGAAGGCTCTCATCCAGTACCTAATCGACGAGGCTGGAGCAGTTGTCAATCGCAGAGGAGGCACTTACGGGACCGTACTCGCAGCCGCCACACTGCAAGGCTCGCCAACGCTCGTGTCGTTCTTGTTGGAAAAGAATGCCGCCCCAGGACTTGCGGATGGAATGGGTCGAGTGCCGCTACACATGGCTATGCTGCATGGGCTTGAGCATTTCAAGTTGATCCACGATGCCGGGGCCGACCTCGGCGCTCGAGATAAGACTGGCCGCAGCGTGCTCCATTGGGCGGCGCAGGGCGGGTCTGCGGAGCTGGTAGACTACGTCCTGCAGCTGCTTGGTGACAATGAAGAGTTCGACGTCGATGATAGAGACAATGATGGATGGACAGCTTTGTGCTGGGCTGCTCGCGGCTGTGGTTCCGAGTTCAGAGGCGCCACGCCGGGCGCGCAATTCGAAGTCGTCAAACTGCTGCTAGACCGGGGTGCGGATCCAGGCGTACAAGCCCGCTTCTCTCAGAGAGAGTACTGGATACCGCCAAAGATTGCGCGGTATAGCTGCTCCCCAGATGATGTCCTCACACTCCTCGACTCGGCGACTGTGAAGGAGAAGCAGGCAGGGGACGCTGACCACGAAGAAGCAAGACAGAAAGTCGTGACGAGTGCCACAAAGGCGTTCCTCCACATCAACTCTTATTGCATGTTTTGTCTCGCAGTAAGTGCACCCCGTCTCTGTGATCTGCAGCTAACAGTGCGCACCAGGAGATCAGGGGCGTCAGGTACCAGTGCAGAGATTGTGCCGATACCAACTTCTGCTATAAGTGCTATAACTCGCGGCGTAAACTCCATGTTGAAAGGCACTCGTTTGAGGGAATCGGCCCGGAGCTCGCGCCTATATATAGCCCGAGTGAGACATCTTCTTCTGCTGAAGGGGACGGTAACGATAGTGATAGTGATAGTGATAGTTAGTAATGACCTTTTATATTAAAAGAAGGAAAACATAGAAATAAAAATTTCCTTTAAGAAAGGTTATAAGTTTATAATTTATATTAAAAGTAAACCATAGCTTACTTATTTTCTCTTTAAAGTATATAATAACTAAATATAAGAAAGTAAAGGCATAGAAGCGAGGAAAGCCATTATATATAAAGGAGTGGTGACGCGCGTAGTTGGCAATGAGATTATTTTTAGCCTTAAATGAAAAAAAGGTATAGGAGAAGGCTAAGGTTGAGAAAAAGAAGATGGAGTGTCACCTATTTTAATTGGCGTGAGTGAGCAAATGAGAGAATATCAAACTCTATTTTAGCAACCGGCAGCGAATTTTAGAGCCTCTATCACGACCCGTGGCTGGTGTTCTGGAAGCAGAATCAGCTGTATTGGGTGTGTATGTAAAACGTCTAAAGAGAGAAGAGAGGAGCAGGGAGCTCAAGCTAAGTACAGGGTGCCACGCTAGGGCCAGGTCATGTGACGCTGACGTCACAACAGCCTCCTAGCCCCATCATAGTCAGATCTGCGCCGCAGAGCTTGTACCTTTTGCAAAGCTCCTGAAAACTCTGGCTACCTATTTCCTGGACGGATCAGCCTGGGGAGTCATGGCGAAAGAAAATATCTCCCCACATCGCATAAGTAAGAAGCTAAATTCCTTGCTATACATCCCGCGTTTCACAGCATCAACTTTGTGGAATTGTTCCAACATTTGTGCCTCATGAGAAGTCGTCTGACACTTCTTCAACAGTGCTCAAGGAAGCTACCTTGTCAGAGTAGCCATGGCGGCGATAACAGATTGAGTCGAATTCAAGGTGATGATGAAAAGGCCAAAATACGACCCCTATAAAAATATGAATTGTTGTAGTCATGTGGCTTGCACTCGTTGCCGAGGTAGTTCTCAGAAAAGTGAGGGGTTGTATAACCGAAGCGTGAGCAGAACAAATCAAATAGGGAGGCTGAGGAACAAATGCTCTCCTATTATTTATTTATTCGCACACTGCCACCAACTCTGATTTCCAGACAACAAGAATCCATCATTACGACTCTCAGAGGACGTCCCTTTAAGAAACAAGTATTCTCATAAAACAAAATCCTGTCCGATTGATCGACTTGGTCAACTCAATTGCCTCAAATTCGAAAGGCTTTCTTTGGTAGAGAAACTCGATGTGCAACAAAACTATCAAAACACGTGAGATTAGGTAACAAACAGTTATTCAATAGTTAGAATTCTGGAGGGTGAGTTGTAGGGACTTAAATCGAGTATTGTCCAATCTGTTGAACTCGATTACTTCAAATTCGAAGGAATTTCTTCGAGCGAGAAAAACGATCTGTAACAAAACTATTAGAACACGTGAGATGAGGTAATGAGTAGTAAGTTAGAAGCTGAAATTTGTACAGAACTGGGCATGAGTATTGAGTTATTTTATTAAGGAACGTTGTTGGGTCGGTTCTTTAAAAATCGGGCTCAAGCCTTCAGATCCTGAAGTTCGGCACTTGTTGAAAAATAGATGTGCAACAGAAGAGTGATAGCACGTGAAATTATGTAACGCGGCCAGTCAATAGCTGTGATTCATATTAAGGTGAGTTCAAAATATCAAGTTGCAGCCAACTCGCTTCACTCCACACCTAGGCAAGGAGGATGCTCTCAAAATTCCGTACAGCTTTGAATTGCAGTATATAGCACAAGATCAAGAATAAGTGAGATTATATATTATTAAGTGAGATATATCAGAAATCGGGATTCTGTAATGGAATTAAGGGCGGCAGTTGAGTGAAATTATTTAATTAATTCTTTCAAATCGATTTAAGGAATTGAGGTCAGATCTGGCCTCAGTTCGGCAATATTCGAAATATAGATATATAATAAAATAAGGATAACACGTGAAATTATATCATAAACGGCAACTTAAAATAAAGTGAATATAGTATAATTTAGGGTAAAACAAGATAGAGGTTACAGAATTAGGGGCTCGCTTAGCCGGTAGCATTGGGTTAGCTAGAAGGGTTTACGGGCCAATCGCCTAAACTAGCCAATTACTTAAAAAAGATCAACTTTTCTCTTATTATTTATAATATTAATAATTAATTAAAAATATTATTTCTCTTAATTATAATAGTTTTTATTTAAGAAATTCTTTTAATTATTATTTTTATATAATTTTAAATTTCTTAAATTATATATAAAAACTTAATTTTATTAATTTTAAAAAATAATATTATAAAAAAGAAAATTCTTTTATAAATTTATTTAAAAAAAATTAATAAAATATTTATAATATTAATTAAGGGCTTTAAATAATATAAGTATTAGTTTATTATAAATATATAATATAATATATAATATAATATATAAGTTATTAAAGAAATTATTAAAATAGCTATATTATAAATATTCTAGTTATATAACTAGTTATATAAGCTTGTATTATATATATAACTCGACTAATAGACTAGTTTCTATTAGATTTAGTAGATTTAGGAATTATATATTAATACTATAATTTATAATTCTTATTTCTAAATATTAATTACTTTACTAACTTTAATATACTAGTATTTTATATATATTATTAGTAAACTAATAGTAGTTTAATTTTAAAATGAGAATTATAATATTATAATATTAATATATAATTTCTAAATCTATTAAGCCTAATAAGAACTAGCTACTAATTAAATTATTTATATAATTATTATTTCTTATTACTTTTAAGTTATATAATTATATTATATAATTATTAATAATTATAATTATACTAATACTAGAATATTTTTCTTTAATTATATACTAATTTTCTAATTCGGCCTAATACTAAGCTTCCTAAATACTTTATATATTTATATATTTATATATTTTATTTTATTTTATATTTATATTAATTAGATATTTAAAAGTACTTAATAGCTTTAATTTTATTATAAAGTTAATAAGATTTAATTCTCTTTTAATTCATTTGATTTCTATAATCCCTCGTTATTTATATATTTAATAAAAGTGTATTATATTAATTATTAAGTATTTAATTTAATAAAGTATTTATATAATAACTTCAAATTTATATAAATAACTAATAATAGTTCTATTTCTAATACTTTATTAATTATAAATTTAACTAAAGTATTTATATAAAGCTATAAGCTATATTATATAATTCTAAAACTATAATACTTCTAGTAACTCTTTTATATTTAATAAAAAACTAGTAAATAATATTAGTATATTTAGTTTTATTAACTAAATCTAGAATATATTCGATTTAAGAAAAGAAATCTTTATTATTTATAAATAAAGCATTCGTAAAAATAATTAAATATAAGGAATTCTTTACTAGCTTTATAAATCTTAGTTCTTTAGTAATATTCTTAATTTGCTATTAATTATATTTATTAAATACCTTTATATAAATTTCCGAGAATTTAATAGCTTATTATTCTCTTTTATAATTACCCTCTCTTGAGCCCCTAACTTTAATAGAATTAACGACCTTACCCTTAATATTACTATTGTGAGAGGGAAACTGCAATAAGACAAAAAATTATATAGAGGATACCGGAGTGCAAAACGTGACTAAATAGCAAAACAACAAGAACAGGGACATATGCAGTAAAGCAAAAAACAGTGCACAATAGTAAAGACGTTAATTGATTGATATGAAAGAAGGTTGTTTATCTAGACGTACGGAAAAGGCCAGCTTTCTTATATGATTCCCTCAAGTCACATAACGACGGCCCTGGCCTTTGTCATGTGATCACAACACCAAAACTGCCAAAACAGCATGATTTTTATGGAGTACGACTTGCCATACCACAACATCCCTTCGTCCGGTGAGACATTACTAGCGTGGGCAGGGGGTGCCTGGCACTAAACAGGGGCGTCTCGCCTGGCTGGCGGGGCATAAAATTATGTACCTTTGGCAACAGAGTTGGACAAAGAGTACGCAGAACCTCTCGGCCCAACGCATATATTTTCTATCTTTCTACAACACTGCTCCGTTTGCTGCTCAGTACACTATAGCTAGACTTAGAATTCAAGGTCCGAGACCTGTTTCTCATCTCAAATCGCTCCCCTTGCATTTGCAACTCCGCTCCTCGTCCCTCCTGAATGTAAAAATGGCCCGAAACGTCTTGCTTCACATGCCAATCAACATTCAACTGTCCGTCCTCAGGTCCAGCACCACAACTACCGCTCATGCTGCCCGAAGGAGGGCTGTTAACAGCCAATGCAAACAGATTCTGCGGCTCGCTGTAATCTGTAACAAGCCCAGCGCGAAGAAATAGATAGACTAGGCAGAAAACATTGGTAACGAAGACCAAGAACAGGACGAGGTAGAATATACCTTGCCATCGCTGGTTTGGAATTATGCCTGAAGTGTATTGTTGTGAGGTGATGGAGGCGTTGAACCGCTGGTATGAACCAGGCTCGAGTGAGGTGTTTTGGAAAGGCCAGAAATGATAGAACCCTGCGTCGACTGTGCTCAGAAGCAAGGTATCACCAGCCATGACTGTGAGTGCCTCTGAAATACTCGGCATCAAGGGGTTCAAAGCGGAGCTGCCAGGACCGGTGTCGACAGAAATTAAGTTGGCCAGCATTCTGGACGTAGACGAGTTGGCGTTAGTGATCCCAGTGTTCAAAGATAGCGAGATCATCCAGTCCCAGCCGATGTTCTTCCAATCAAAGTTTCTGGATATTGGCGGATCAGGAACAGAGCTATCATGCCTCATCTTATCGTTTGGGTCGTCGCAGAGCGATTGAAGAGTTGCTCCACTAAGACCAGATATGTTGAAGGAGGTGCTGCAAGCGGGGTATAGAAAAGACTTTAATTCGCAGAGAGTATAATCAGAGGTGAGAGCATCCGAAGTTTTGATAAGTAGGTATATTGCATCGCTGTTCGACATCGTAACATTTGCGATAGAGTTGTATTCGATCGGTAACTGACAAGTTTTAGATGGAACACTGGACAAGAGGATATGACTGACCATTGGAAACACTGGAGGTTGACGGTGGTACTTTGAGCCCCACTCAAAGATATCGTCGACCACTGTGCTGTTCAAGTACGATTCTCCGGGTAACAGTTGGACATCATTCGCATAATCTGCTGATGCAAGCTTTTGAGTTGGGTTGTCCTTCGATGTCAGAATAGTCGCATTTGGCCATGTGACACAGATCAGAGGAGCAATCTCGGTCTCATTGACATTCGCACAGAGAACATTGACCGCTGAACTAACTACTGAAGCCTTCAGCGAATATTCTCCCACGCCTCCCAACTCAGCAGGTTGAACGATCCCATTCTTTGGGTCTTTGGCGGCAGCAGTAATGCCAGCGTGAGGCATTGCGAGGGTCACATTATTTACAATTCTGTTGTATTGTTCGTATGATGCCGTCATGTTGCTCGAGTTTGTCGCAATCCAGCTACCGATCGCCGTGGTGTTGTCGAATAGCATGCCCGTAGCATTGGGGCGAAATGCAAGATCAGAAGAGGCACCTTCACCTCCTTCGTGAACGTGGGCCCAGGTCCCAAGGGAGCTTGCAGCATTGTGATACGCTGTAATACTGTTAGGCATCCTTCACTCAAGCAAGGATCGAGCTTACATTAGCCAGCGTTCTCTATGTCTAAACAAGTAATCTCCGAAAAGTCGGAATCGACATCGGCAGTGATGGGAGTTTGGCAGTTCTTTTTCATATATAATGGGTTGGCGTAAATGGTCTTCACTACACCTTCCATGAGAATATTATCCCAATAACCGAAACGTAGGTGTGGAGATACGAGAGCATCGGATGTTGTAGTATAGAACATCGATATCAGGGCCGCAATAAGAGTAGCGACTCCTAGAAAAGAAAGCGCAACATGGCGAAGGTATTGAAAATGCGTGATCATAAATCCTGGCGGGATGACCCAAGTTCGTAGAGTACGTTCTGCAATCGTAACTCCGCGAGATGCCTTAACAAGAGATCGCCGGCTCAGTACTTGACCTAGGAAGGCGACGAAGACGGTGACAAAGGACAGTTCAATTGTCTTTGCAAGGAGTGTGAAGATGATGGACGCTGTTGCAGGAGTGAGAGAGCCGCCAGATCGGATGGTTCGTCCCCATCTAGGCTGCGTCATTGCAATCGCAAGCCATATGCCGGAGAACACTGTTGAGTATACTGATAGAAGTAATATAGAAATCGAGAGCCAATTTGTTCGCTCGACGTGTAGGTCTCGAGTTGGCGGGCAGGAATCCAAAAGCTCTGTCAGAGGCCTCCTAGTCAGCACCTCCACCAGAGGACAGGAAAGTTACATACTGATAATATCCACATCGTTTCCGACTGCTCTTCCACTGCCGCCCATTTGCCCTAATGCAAAACTCAACCCGTCTTCAGATATGTGCCCAGTTTTCGAAGTTTCTTGCCCGCCCTCGGTTTCCTCTCTCAGACGTCCCCGGTCGCTTCCATCATATTTGTTGCGCCCAGAGATGGATCTCACGAAATCTGGCAACAAGAAAGGCCTCGATGATCCTGGTGTGTGGGGGGGAACTTGGTATACTGGAGGGGGTGAAATTTTGATTCAGAGATAGCCGATGAAAAGGAGGCCCTTGACTGTTGGGAGGAGCGATTGAACCCGATGTGCCGGCCCGGCCGATTCCAAGGCCTTGCAGTTCACTATCAGGGGTTTCGGATGCCGCTATTAATGGAATTGAAGACGAGAATCGCGGCGTAGGATCTGAATCGTCGATGGGGACCTGCGAGTACATTCTGCGAGAGCCATGGCGAGGCTGAGCAAAGACTGGAGAGGTATTTGCTGTGGATGTGTCTGAGAAATCACTCACCTCGCCTTTGGGGAGTGTTCTTCCGTTGTTGGCCATTGTTTTCAGCGATCAATTGGTAATTGAAGGGCGACAAATGAATGAATAGTCATGATTTCGCGATATGTTTGCTTCAACGATAGACGAAGCTTGAGCAAACAATTAACGTCATTGGTGACTATTGTACCACCACGTGAGACATCACGGAAGCGCGGAGCCGTGGAAGAGACGTTGTGCAACTCCAGTATTCGTCATGAAGATGTAGAAGATGATGTTGTCCGAACCTTTAAATTTTCGGCGAATAAACTACCAAGTCCGAGTGGGTAGGGGGGAAGGGTGGGTCTCGCTGGTTGTGATCGACTGCGAAGTGGAAGACCGAATCGACTATTGCCTGGATGAACATCAAATGTTGCCAGTTGAGAGCCAGCACAGCCAAGAACTATCTGACCAAGAAGGAAGTAATTAAGTCTCGGGACTGCATCCAATGTTCTCCAACGACCAAACTTCCGTAGCAGATCGGTCCATTATCCGATCATCCACAGGCTCCGCAAATTCGGACAAGAATCTCAGCATCCACTGATCAAGTCTGAAAGAGTCATCCATCGAGCTCCTACAAGCCTTGTGAAATGCCTGCAATCTTGTAAAGCAGATATCGAGAGTTGGCCAATACGCCCTCAACTGACTCAGGATTTCAAAATTTCGCTCAAGCCTTCTCCTCGCTGTCATAATCTGCGCTGCATTGTCGCTGAATAATAAGGTGTGGATTTGTACAGTGGATGCAATCACCATAATATGACCGACCATTGTATACCGCACATCACAGCTCGGTATCGAATTTGCGGCATATATGATCTCGCAAAGTGATTCGGCGTATGATTTGCAGCGATCCGCGTAGAATCGCGCACTCAACACCGTACCGGTGCAATCACCGTGGAGGAATTGATAAAAGAGGAGTTGCCCAAAATGATAATATCCAAGATATACCGCAACAAACATCCTTCCAAGCCCTCGCGAAGCGTAACGTTGCAGGTTGGTAGGCGTATTGTGCATGGAGGGTGGGAGACTGTTATGCCATTCGTCAAGTGCGTTTGACAAACCCATTACTTCATTCTCAAGTACAACACCCGAGGTAGCCCCTGAGACAGTTCGTTCATTCAGCAAGTTTATTTCAAGGAGGATACGGTTGAGCTTGATCATGTGGGCCAGTAACGAGGAGCCATGATCTACGGTCCAGGGAATAGCTTCTGCTTGCCTGGGAGCAAGAAATCCAACGTCGTCCATTGGGAGGGGTAAGGTATCGAGGACCGGCATCTGTCTTGCAAGCCCAACGCCTGTTGAAGACCAGACATCGATCATGCAGAGCGACCACCAAACTTTGTCTGTTACCATGCGATCTCAAGGACTACGTAATCTTGCGACTCACCTCGTATGTTCACTTCACGCTCTACTGGGTCCGAGGTGGGTTTGCTTGCAAGATTTAGAAGATTTGCGATACGGCACGCAACGGAGTAATAGACTGCCTCTGCCTGTGCCTCCCCATGAGTAATGCTAAACGCACCAAGCAAGACGCAGGCCTGCGCAGTGGTCAAGGATACGTCTCTGAGATTGAGAAGTCGACTGCTCTCTTCTGCATAACGATCCCCCCTTTCTCTGGGATTTATATCTGCGAAGAATGGGTTGCTTGAAAATCTGGGCCACGTTAGCAACAGCGCCTTTTGTGTGATAGAAGGGGGAAGACCAACCTCGCCGACAGGGCCATCATAGCCAAAAGAAGAACGGGTGAAGCACGTCTTTGTTTGACATCTTCAAGTACAGTTGGTTTATGGAAAAGAGAATGAAACTGGTCGTGGATGAAATCGAAATATAAATTCACGAGCTCAAGGCAAATTGATGGAGGAGGTAACGTATCTGAAGACGGTGCCGCTGCCTGAGGCGACATCACTCGAGGCAGTAGAATATTTGAGACGGAGGCATTAGATGCAGGTTCTGCGGCTTGCAAGTTGGAGGAGCTGTCTCGTGTGCACTGGATACCACGTTCTGAGCAATAAGTGCACGACACGCCAAACTGAGAGGCGTCGCACTTTCGGCGTCTATCTCTAATCGGACACTGTCAGTAACTATGCTATGCAAACAAAAGGAAGTGCCTACAAGCAATCAACGGCATGAAAGGTATGGACAGAAAGCTCAATGATTCTGCAAAGCGCCGAAAGCTGGGGGAACGGAAGGATTGCTTACCTGCATGCTTGGCAGGCAGTAGACACTCTCATTTTGAGACCTATAGTACAGAGCTGTGCATGTAAGGTGTTTACCAGGCAGCGACGGTGCATACAGCGAACATGCTGAAGAAGTGACGTTGGGAAGACGCGGGGGACAAAAGCGGGGATGTGGGGATGCTTGACGCGAGCCCACAGTGCCGTGAAAACCCGCTTTAAAACGCTAATTTAGCGCCGTTCACATCAAATCCTGCCCGCATGCTTCACTCTCCTTACTTCCTTTATTTATTAAATAAACACGCGTCCACATATATATTTGTCATTATAAAGCGAAAGCGCACACTCTAGTTAGTCTATGTTATAAGTCTTATTATTTTTATATAAGTAGGTATTAAGTTATTAGAAAATCGAGAATTCCTTATATTTTGGAGTTGTGATATTTTTAGCCCAGAGTGCCGACAGAAACCTACTGATAAACAAACCAGGATTCGACACCTAAAGCGAAGGATAGTCTGCCTAGCTTGACTCTCTACCCCAGAGCCAGTGTAACTGTAACATAAATACCTAATATGAGAATTCTTAAGTGTTTGGCAGGTAGAAGCAAAAGCCGAAGGGTTCGAGAGATCCAAGCAAACCCTTCACCAAATATTGGGTTTCCGCCCATAATTTATCAAACCAACAATTTCTAGAGGCGATAGTAGCTTCAAATTCTCAACTCTGATATGATTTGAGGCATGAAACACAATGGGATCGAAACAAGGGAGCTCAATTCGCTGAGCATGTTGAGAGGGTAATTTTGAGGTCCTGCAAAGAGCATATAATTGATATAAATCGTAAGGTTTACTCGTGCCCAAAAATCAGAGTTTTATCCTTAGCGCCATTACGTGCAAACCAGCCATTTCAACAGAGCGCGTGATAGTAGAATGCTACCCTTCTCAAAATCACTAACTAGAATATAAGTATAATATAATAGAATACACCTTATATATAGCCTTTAACTTCTTTATATAATAATTAATTATTTTATTGCATTTTAATTAATTATTTACTTGCTTATAAAAGCGAGAAAGCTTATTAATATATTTGTAATTAAGACTATTAATTTATATAATAATTTAAGTTATATTAATTTTTTAAGTAAAAGAAAAAACAAAGTTTTAATAGTATATATAATAAAGGAAAACAAGTAAATAATAATAATAATAAAATATATATTTAAAAAGAAATATTTAAAAGTAAATATTTAAAAGTAAATATTTAAAAGTAAATATTTAAAAGTAAATATTTAAAAGTAAATATTTAAAAATAAATATTTAAAAGTAAATATTTAAAAGTAAATATTTAAAAGTAAATATTTAAAAATAAATATTTCGAAATTTCAATTAATTAATAAAATATATAAAGATTTAAAATAAGATTTTTTTTTTTACTTTTATATAATAATAAGTCTTAAAAAATAAAGCTATTATTACTTAAAAAAACTAATAAATTTTTAATATTATATTATATTATAATATATTAAAAGAAAAGCTTTAAAAATATTAAATATAAGTAATTACTAATAATAATTATAATTTATTTAAAAATTAATAAATTAATAATTAATATTTAATTATAATATAAATTTTTTTTTAATTATATTATTTTAATATTTAAGTATTTTTATATTACTAATTTATTAATTTTAATAAAAGAAATTATTATTATAAAATAATAATTAAATATATAAGGAATTTGTTTTATATAATTAAAATAAAATAAAACTAATAAAAAACTAGAAGTTATAAATAATAGCTTTTTAAAATTATATTTAAATATTTAAATACTAGTTTTAAATCTTTAATAAATATAATAATATAATAATTTTTTATTTTAGTTCTCTTATTAAGTAATTAAATAAATAACTTTATATAAAATTAATATAATTAAGATTTATAAAAAGAAAATTATTAAATATATATTTTCTTATAATATTAAAATTACTCTAATTAAAAATATATTAAAGCCTTTTATATTTAAAGAATTATAATTTGTAATATAATATTAGCTTTCTTAGATTTAGTAATTCCTAAATTAGATAAGTTATATATATAAGCTTACTATTATTTTTAATTGTTATTAATATATATACTTTATTAATAAATAGCTTTAAAAAGCTAGATTCTTATATATAAACCTGGCCTTATAAGAATTAAGCTAATAATAAGAACTTTATAAGAAATTTTTAATTCTTTTTTACTCAAATCTAGTAAAGAAATTCTTTAAAAAAATAAGCTAATAATTATTTATATTAGAATTTGGTAAATAAGTTCTTAAAAAATTATAAGCTAAGAAATATTTTACTAGAATTAAATAAAGAAATCCTTAAATAAAAAAGTAAATTAATAAATATTTTATTAAAAATTAAAGCGGATTTTAAGCCTTAATAATTAAGGCAAACTTTTAAGCTCTAATAATTAGAATAAGATTTTAATATAATTCCTTATATAATTCTTTAACTAGGAAAGTACTTTTATAAATAGAAATAATATATAAAAAACTAGTTTTATAAAAGAATAAACTAATTAATTCCGTATATTTATATAATTAATTCGATTTAAAAGAAAGAAAAACTATTATAATACTAATTAATATAAATTATATTATATATTTTAGAAATTAATTCTATGTTTTTAAAATTATAATGTTTTTATTATTATGGAAATTATAATATATATAATTAAATAAGTAAATATATTCGCGTTTTATATAATAATTTTTTTATTTTAGTTATTATATAACTACTCTTTTAAGTTAATTACTTCTCTATAATTATATTAATATTTTAATAATTATAAATCTAATTAAGTACTCTTTTTAAATACTTTTAATAGCTACTTTTATAAGCCTTTAGAAATACAAGTAAGCTAATTTAACTTTTAATTTAATTATAGTTCTTATTCTAGTTAAAAAAGCTATAATTCAAATAATTATTAATAAATAATATAAGAAACTCTTTAATATAAAGAATAATTCTAATAATTTAGATATTAAATTAAGTAATAAAATAAAGCTTAAAGATTTAATATTCTTTTAAGTTTAGTAAAAGCTTTTTATTAATAGTAATAAAACAATTATTTTAGAGAAGCTTATAATTATATAATAAGATTAGAAACTTATAAAATAAACTAGTAAGTTTTATTTTATTTTTTTATTTTTATATTATAATATAAATATATTAAGATTATTTTTAGCTTCTAAAGATTTATATAACTTTAAATTAATAAATAAATTAGTAAAGCTTTAAATATATAAATAATTTACTAAAAAGTTCTTAAAAATATTAATATTAAACTAGTTTAAACTAAAGAGCTATATACTTTATATATAATTACTAATTTATATTTATTTTAATAATATATTTAATAGCTTTTAAAATTAGAATAATATTAATTTAAAAAAGTTAATATATTATTTTTAGTAACTTTTAGTAATTATTACTTTAATAATAAAAAGATACTAGTTTAGTAAATTAGGAAACTATTTAATTATTATTAATAATAATATAATATTTTATAAGAAACTAGAAATAATAAAAGAAATAATATCTTTTACCTAAATAATAAAAATGTTTTTTAGCTTATTATACTTAATTAATTAATTAATAACTTGAAATAATATTACTAAAGGATTTCCTAAATACTATTAATTAGGAGATTTTACTTTACTTATTATTAATAATAGAAAAACCTATTACTTATAATATAGCTTATTTATAGCTTTTTAGACTCGGCTTTATTTATTATAAGACTAGAAAAGGGCTTTATATAAATAAATATAAATAACCTAATATAATTTAATATAAAGAAAATAAAGCTAATATATAATATATAATATATTTTTATAATAAGAGCTATTTCTATGAATTTAATTATAAAAAGAGCCTTTAGTTAGTAAATAATTAATAAAAAATGCCGGAAAAAAGCAAAAGAAAACTAATTTACAATTCTGAATTTATAGGCCCTAAAAGGCATATTAGAATACTAAATAATAAAAGTATTACAAAAGCTAATATTCTTATATTTATAAAACTAAAAATTAAAAAAATGTATTTTATTATAATTATTTATAATAAATATTTTAAGGTTATAAATTTAATTTATTTGAAATTTATTTTTATAAAAGATTATAGATTTTTAATTGTATTTAGTTAGAATAATAAATCCTTAGCTTTAAATCTAATTATTATTAAGGAAGTTATAATTTAATTTAATATTACTAAATCTAATATATATTTTAAGGCATTTATTTCTAGCTATATTAATCTTATTTAAATAAATATTTAAAATCATATATCTTTTTTATTATAGCTAAAATTATTAATATTTAAAATTTAGTTTTTTTTATTTTTTTATTTCTTAAAAAAAGCTTTTTAAAAGTACTTCTTTATAATATTAATATTAATTTACTTTTATAAATACTTTAATTCTTTTATAATTTTGGCCTTATTAGAATTCTAGTAAATCTATTTATTATATTCAAAATACTTTATATTTCTCAAGAAATATTTCTTCTAATTATAAATTAAATAAACTATATTTAAATTAGAACTAATATTATAAAGACTAAATAATTATCTAAAAGATTCTTATATATTTTTCGGAACTTATTCTTCTTTTTTTAATAGCCTTATAAATTAGAATTTATTAATTTAATATTTTGAGAAATAAAGTTACTTTTATTAAACTTTTTTATTTTATTTTTCTTAATTTATAATAAGTAATATATTCCGCATTCTAAGCTTTCTTAAATTATTTAAAAACAAATATTAATTTACTTTCTAAAAGAAAATATATAAGTATTTATTAAGTTTTAAAGTTAAATAAAGTATTATTAAAAGTCTAAATTTTTATTAATTTCGAAACTAATTATTTAAATATATAAGCTAGTAATTATTTTATTATTATTTTATTATAACTTTCTAAATATTAAAAGTATTCAAAATATATTAGCTAAATAAATCTTATATATTAATAGATATTATTTTATTATAACTTTCTAAATATTAAAAGATTTATTTCTAAAGATATTTATAATAAAATTTCTTTATTTTTTATAAAATTATTTATAATATAAATCAAGTATTTAAATTTTAAATTCTTTTTTTTAATTTAAATATATTTTCAAAATATTATAAAATAGCTTCTAATAAATAAAATTAAGATTATTTATAAAGCTTATTATATTAGAAAGAAAAGTAAGTTTTAATTTTATTTTAAAAAGTTCTTTTATAGAAATTATTAAAAAAATTTAAGAAAATTTATAAATAAAGTTTTTATAAAATATAATAAACTTTAAAATATCTCGGAAAATATTTTTATATTACTTTAATTATAAAATATATTAATTAATTATATTTACTAATTCTTGCTTTTATTAAAAGGCTTTAATCTTAGTATATAAGCTTTATTTTATAATTTAAATAATAATAATTTGAGTATTAATTATAATATCTTAATTATAATATCTTAATTATTACTAGAATTATTACTAGAATTATTATTATTATTATTATTATTATTATTATTATTATTATTATTATTATTATTATTATTATTATTATTATTATTATTATTATTATTATTATTAT